TCAGATCCCCCAAATTCAAAGACCCAGTCTAAAAATGGGCATCTGACATACTTCTTAGATGAAGAAATACAAATGGCAAATAAATATATGAAAAAATGTTTAATATCACTGGTAATTTGAGAGATGCAAATCAAAACAATACAGAAATTCCATTTCACTCCAGAAGGAATTGCTATCATCAAGAAATCAAACAATAACAAATCTAGAGGGGCTGGGGGGAAAAAGGAACCCTACTCCACTGTTGGTGGGAATGCAGACTAGTGCAACCACCATAGAAACCAGTATGGAGTTTCTTCAAAAAGCTAGAATTAGAGGTCTCATTTTACCATCTGTTCCCCTTCTGGTTGTTCTCTCAGAAAAATTAAAAACATCGTACCACAGAAATGTATGTGCACCCATATTTATAGCAGCACAATTTGTCATAGCTAAATCTTGGAAACACCCTAAATGCCCATCAACTGAAGAATGGATAAAAAGATGTGGTATTTTTATACATTTATAATTTTTATACATTACTCAGCCATAATGAAAGATAAACTTGAGACTTTTATAGGTAAATGGATGCAACTCAAGGCTATACTCATAGGTGAAATTAGTCAGACTCACATGTGTAAACATCATATTATCTCCCTGGTGTGAGAAACTGAAAGAGTAAATAAGGTCTAAAATGTGCAATAGATAGTGAGATGGGAAGAAATTGTTTAACTGTAAGAAGGAAGTATGAGGGAAAGGGAAAAGGCAGGGAAGTAAAGGGGAGAAAAATGCAACTTAGCTATATTATTAGTATCTCTTAGTTCATTGAAAAGGAAGGTTTGTGCTGATATCAGTTGCAGAATTTTTAGGCCCATATCTTATACTCTGAGTAACTCCTTTAAGATGACTATATGCAATACATTAACTATTGTTTTTCTGTGAATATTTTTGTTATGAACTTGCTTTATATTTTTTCCATAAAATAAAAAAATAAAAACAAATGTTTTGTTGTTTTACATTTTACAATTAGGTCTGTGATCTACCTTCAAGTTAATGTTTGTGAATGGTGGGTGGTCTATTTCCAAGTTCATCTTATTGTGTATGGATTTCCAATTGTTCTGACACTGTTCAATGTAAATATCAGTATGTAGGGACAGGAGTCCATAGACAAAAAATAAAATACAGGCCTCCTTAGGTCTTCTAGCTAAGTCTGACTAGAAGGTGTTAGAAACAAACTTTACTAGAGAGAGTCCCTTGGGAAGCAAGTCAAAGACAGTGGTAGAAAAAGAAAAAAAAAAAAAAGAAGAAAAAATAAACAGATAAAGAAATGCACCAAATGGCCTTGGTACTTCCACCGAGACCAGAAAAAGAGCTGTCAGGAAGACACAGACAGAAAGCCAGGTGCGCAGAGGAATAAGCTGCCCCTGCCTCCAATAAAATCCAGGGAAAGCAAGGTGGGGGCTGAGTGACTTCCAGGCAATGTGTACTCACACCTGTGCACCAACATATTCATTTATACACATGTGGATTCGCTCTAGAGTCACTAAATTAGCCACTCTAGGGTCACTGTAGAGAACAACAGATACCCACATGTGCTCTTACTAACTCTCAGCTAATGATAAACAAAATAGGCCCTTCCCAACTAGCTGCCTACCACAAAGATAAAGCCTTAAAAGTTACATGAAAGACAAGTAAACAAACAGACAGAAAGAAGCTGCACACAGGACATCGAAAGAAATAAAGTCCCGCAGAAGTGTCTGGAAGCCAATTCAATTATTGCAAGCTCTAGGTGGAAAGGGAAGTTTCCCACCCACCCCCCTCATAAAAACAGCTGAGAATGAGGCCATGTCCTCCATCTTTCTGTAGCTCCATACTTGATTCTTTCTTATCAGGGTAGCTATCTATCTTCTCCTTTCTCCCTCCTTTTCCTCCTTACACATAAAGTGTCTTCCTTCGGTTAAACTCTGTCCCTCTAATTTATTATAGGGGCTGAGTTACGATCCCATCGGGCTGCTCAGACAGCACAGCAGCAGTGCTCATTCCCATTCCTCTTCAGCTTTCAGAGTCTTCTGTTTTCAATAGTCTGCTTTTAACATAAAAATATACCTGATAGCTGTGTTGCCTCTTTGGCAGAACTTCCAGGTTGTACATAAGTGATAGAGCCCAGCAGGCCCTTGGGTAGAAGGAGGCCCCGGCACGGCTGCACTCCTAGCAGCAGCTCTTATGCAGCCTGTGCTTGGACATGTCTATCATCTGTGAGTCTGCCTTTTCAAGAGGCAGCTGCTGACCTCCTGAGGGCTCCAAATCTCAGGGAAAAATATCTTCATTAGGGCTGAGTCATCATCATAGCTGATTTCTCTATAATCACAGTATTTAGACCCTCCGGCTCTGTTTTAAACACAGAGCAATACCCTGCCTTGGTGTCTCTGAAGGAGTACTTACTGTTCTGGAGAGTTTTGGGGTACCAATCTGAGCAGGATGACTCTGTAGAGGGTGTTTGATTCCTAAAGTCTTCACTCTCTCATTTAAGGTAACATTTTAAAATTCTCTGCTTTTAAATAGCTAATATATTTGCAAACACTGGTTTTAGTTAGTTAAAAATAAAAATAATGGGAAAGCACATGTGTAGTAAGAAGTGAAGGAAGGAAGAAAAGGACACTGAAATAAGAGCGGGAGGGTCTAAATACCTTATTTCGTGAACATGTAAGTTCAGCTATAAAGAGCCATTCAATATTATGATGTGCTAAGTGACTTTCACTGCCTTCACAGAAATATCACTCTCAAAATTCCTTGTTGTTCTGGTGAGGTGTGACCCTCAAAATCAGAAGAGAATTCTATCATTCCTCTGTTCTACAGATAATAAGAAATGCCACAAAAACACAGATCCAAACTGCACTCTTTCCCAAGGGAATGCTGTGCTCAGTTGTTAAACTCTCCCACCAGAGATCTTTTGAAAGTCTTGAAACATTTCATCTCCCTGCAACCCTGATTTCCTACAGAAACAAAATTAATTGTTTCCTCAATAGCAGTTCCCTCACTCCTTTTAAAACTCCGTGAAGGAAATGTGGCTTTGTGCAAATTATTTTCATTCCTCTGCCATGTATAAAGAAAGTGTCTGTTTCATGTACTCATTGAAAGAATTATTTAAGCTCCAGTAGAGCCCTTCATTATTGCTGAGGATGAAAGAAACAAAAGGTGATTTGCACTTGAGATTTGCAGTATGAAGTGTCTGTGAAGCAAAACCAGCAGCGAACCTCACGCTGAGCAGACGGCAGGCAGCATGGGGAGCTCTCCATAAAGCACGCACATGCCTGCCCTTGACCCATGGAGCTTGAAGAGGGAGGACACCGATGCGGATGTGACTCCATCTGGCAGAATGGACAAAACACACAGCAGCTCTGAGGTCTGCTGCTAAGGAATGTTGCTCACCTCCAAACCTCCAATCAACTGCCATGAAACGTAGAGTTAAGTAGAAGTTAGTGACTGGAAAGCAGACACACTCCAGATAGAGAGGCTGCAAGCCCACTTTCTGAAATCCTTCAGCTACGGCCTGTTGACCTGAGCTCACGAGTAAGTGCTAAGTGAAGGACGAGGAAGTTGATCCAGAGGCCACACAGGGTTTCTCACAGCACACCCTTCATGAGGAATGTGCGAGTCCAGAGTCTTAAGCTAACATACGTGCCCTGTGGAGGGTTAGGTGAGCAGATAGTAAACTAACCCTCCAACTGCAAGTTTATTAAACATCAATCAATGCTACTTCTCCATGCTCTGTGCTGCCCAATCAAGGTTGGAAAGAAACTGCTACCTACAGATCTTGTCAGCCTCCTCACAGCTAATACGTAGAGTACTACAGGCTCCCAAAGCCTAGACTAGCACTTCCTATACACAAGCTCATTTAATCTTCAAAACCATCTAGGAAGTATACATGGGTCACTCGGTTTTACTTACTAAAAATTTGATTCTCAGAATGATTGAGAATTTGAACTCAAGCCCATTTCATTCCAAAGATTGGGAGCTTTTAACACCGTTACTTTATGCACACGGCACAGACACATGGCCTGAGTGACTTGGTGAGAAGTGGCATTGTTGTAGCCCCATTGCGCTTTCATGTTGAAGGCCATTCTCCTCTTCAAAGAGCTCAAAGGATGTGGCAAGTAAGTGCGTGGAGTCTATGGCTTTGCTTTCAATCTTCGTTCTGCCTCTTGCTAGCTGTGCAGCTCGGGCAAGCTACCTAACGGCTTTGTGTCTCAGTTTCCTCAGCTGCACCTACTTCATAAATTATTACGAGGATGAAAAGGATATTAAACGTCAAGCAGTGGAGGAGCGTTTAGCCTGTGGAAGGCGTTCAGTTAGTGTTTACTAATTTTGGATACTGGTAAGAGTAAGCCGAAGAAGGGCTTTTTCTTAAGAAAGCACAGAAAATTATTTCTCACTCCTACAGTTTCATGAGTGACGAGCCTAATGCTTCACAGTAAACACAGACTTTAGAGAGAAAATGGGAAAGGGCCAGTGCAAGCTTAGCTCTGTCCTGTTGTTGTTCAGGCCTAATGGTTTTGAGCTGTGCTTACGGACAGACCCATATCAGTTTGAAGTCAGTCGTCTTGCCAATTGTTTTACGTTGTTAAAACATCTCTTAGTCAAGACTTATTTTCCATGAGGTAGGGAAGAGTTCCTGAGAACAAGAGGTTAAGTAACTTACTCAGAGGTTAAATCCATAGTTAGACTAAACATAACCCAAAATTCCCAATTCTCAATCTGCCCTCTTCCACATGAGGCATACTCTACTGCTGACTCCAGTCCTGGGGAGGTTTGAGAGCAGTCACTCACCCTTCCAATCATGAGGAAAAACTAAAACACCCACAAAAAAATATACTGTTGCTTGAGAATCAGGATGAGCTGAAGAAATTCATACCAGTTTGTGAATTATCTTTTTTAAATATAATCAAGATAAATATCAAGGTGGCTTAACAAACATCACCAATTTGACTTTCTAACACAGTTCTTGGCTTTTCTCCTTTCTCCACCAGTTATGATTAAGAATTCGTGGGTAGTACCATGCTTGAAGAGCCAACTACTTCTCAAGGTTATATGAAGAACTATAGGAAAGCTAGCTGGATTGCACCACTGGTGAGTAATTCTGATCTTGAAATGGGTGCTTGGGCCAGCAGAAAGTGAGGCAGGAATGAACTACAGTGTTGTACCAGGATGAGGGCTAAATAATGAAGATAAAAGGGGGAAGAACAGCAATTCACATGCAAGAGGGATTTTTTAAGTTTTTTGAAAGATTACATATACAGGGCCTGGAGACATAGACCAGTGGAATAAGCGCCTGCTCAGCAACTGCAAGGTTCTGAGTTCGATTCCCAGGGGAGAAAATTACATATTATTATGCAAAGGAGAACCTGGCTTAATTTCATTGTTCCTTACTCTATTGACTTTTTCTTTGATATTTGTTAGCAAAGACAAAGGAGCTAGAAGGAAAATCAATGAAGAAAGGAACACAAGCAATGGTTAGCATTCACTGTCGCAGTATATCCAGTAATTCTGTGGATGGGGCAGAGAACCACAGAAGCAATAGTCTTCTCCAGAATCATTCCATAATTTAACAAGAGAAGACATAATAAGCAAGAGAAAGAGCATGAGGACCCTTGGAGCCCGTGGCTGTAGCGGCATAGGAACATTCTTCAGTACCCTCCAACATCCAAGGGGAGTTACTGCAAGGAAAAGGAACAAGAATCTCACTGAATTTGCCTCCATGTCAGAGCCATGCCAGGAGCTATAGATGCAAAGTTTCAATGAAACCCGGCCTCAGCCCTAGGAAGTACTGTTACCCACCTGTCTCAGTGAGACAACGTCTACTTTCAAAGGTTAAATCTCTTGACTCTGGATACATGTCATTTGTGGGGATGGAGGATCTGACCAATTTCTTGATTCTGAAATGGGAAATTTTTTCGCAGTATTAGCTGCTGGTCAGGATCAAGGCAGATGTCTGATCCGTAGGAAATGCTGCAGAGCAGCTGTTGTGAGGCACTTGCTTACAGAGGCATTCTCCAGGAGTACTGTTCTAGCCAAGTCAGAGGGATCTCCATGAAGGGCAGGCCACCAACCTGGAGAGGGAAGGCCACTTAGAGGCAGTGCTGGCCGCGCCTGTGCAGCGTGCTGCTGGATGCCGCTGTGCTTCCTCGAGCTGCTGCTTGGATTTCAGTGAGATTTCTTTCATTGCCCTGTGGACCTGGCACTTATGTCAACAGCTTTGACCTCAGGGCCAATGACTCTGTGCCCATCAAAGCCTGGGGTGCCGGGTACTGGACAGTACATTGATGGAGTCCAGAGCTCTTTCTCAGAGACTTTTTCCCAGCCTGCGGTGCCCTGAGCTGAAAAGGTGTTGTTGCTCTGGACAGCCATATCCCCTTGTACCTGCTGAGAAATCCAAACCACTTTCTTCTGAGCTCAGCACTGTTGAGCTGGGGTTCATAAAGTAGAATGTGTCCAGAAGTGAACTATGTGCAGGCAGGACTCTGCTCTGGCTAATTCACGCACCCAGCACCCGGTCTACTGTTTAGCACAGAACAATTACTTAATAAAAAAAACTTTAACTGAGTAAAATTTGTGAATTTCTAAATAAAACGGCATTCCAGTTCCAAAGTATTGAGTCACCTAGTAGATTTAAGTGAGTAAGAAGCCACTCTTGTTCACTTGTTTTTTCAGAGCTCACCATATACTATGTGGGCACAAAAATGAATAGATGAATGGAATTTTACACAGAATTATGCCTCCTTTTGATTGGGATCCAAATGGGCTGATTTGGTGAAGCTGTCTTACCTTAAGTACTCTGGGACCTGTATTTCCATTATTGTGTCTTTTGATAATTTTTTAATGATGTGCAGAAAGTAGTTAACATTTCAGGATAGAGATTCTTGTCCTTTAAAAGCCCTGCTTCCTACGTTAGCCTTCGACTGGCATTTGGATTGGATTCCATTAGATTTTAGAAATGTTCCCACCATTCTCAGAAGTATATTAGCGACTGGCTGTGCCTCAACTGTTCGTACAAACAGTGGAGCTTATGATGAACAACTGCTTCCCCTCTGGGAGTCTGGACCACGGGACATATAAAGCAGAGGGTGCCTACGTGACCAGCCTGCAATAACGTGCTGAGTCTCCCAGTGAAATGCACTTCACACGTGTTTTCTCAGCTTATTGTGGGAGGAATTCAGCTCACCTGTGTTGACTCAGGTGGGAGAAGGGACTCCTAGACGCTGGCTTGTAGCGTCCTCAGGGCTTTGTCCCATGCACCTGCCCTTTTGTTGGTTTTGCTTTGTACCAGAGCATGAGGACAACTGCTTGCTGAGCCCCCTGAATTGTACCAAACCACTGAACCTAAGGGTGGCATCGGGATTATCAACATGGAGGGTAAAGAAAAGCATGGGCTTAAAAAAATCTCAGCAATGTTTCCTGCCTCAACTGCATTACTTTGTTTTCTTTGTATTTTGGTCAGTTTTGTTTGAGCCTAACTCCCTTAAAAGTAGGCTGGGATTTAATATGCTTCGCATGGGTCAGTGCAATGCCTTACACATAAAATAGGTCTGGTAAGCAGTGGGTACGTTAAAGAATGAGTGTAACTTAGGTATTTTTCTCAATTACAATGCCTAGTTCAAAGGATTAAGTACATTCATTGGACATGTTTGAATGTGAGATCATTAGCCTCTTCCAAACTTTCAAAACCTAAAAACATGAATCTTTAGAGACAGAGGGAGGTACATCCAGGTTTTGGTGATTGGCTGAACATCCCAAGAAATCAATGAGGAGCTGTAGTTTAATTCAGAAGCAGGACTATAACATACATTTTTGAAATTTTCTAATGTAAAACTCAAACTTTCGAAGCCAGTGTTAGTGAGACAAATGTTGTGATTTCACATCTATATCTTGTTCTGACTCATAAAGTCTATAAGATTAAAATGTAGTCCACATAGAAATTACATCGGATAGCTATATTTGTCATTTTGTATAAAGGTATTGTAACTTGTCATGCATTCAGTTTCTATTAATTCATGACTTTCTGACTACTTAAAAATTGGACAGAACTTGTTTCCTTGGGATAATTCTCATCTAGATGGATTAAAAGCTGAATTTTCAAGAGGCTTATCAAAACAGTTGGTAGACCTTTTCTTTAAATATTTTTCCTCATCAAATTGGGAAGTTTCCATCTATCATGAATTATGTCATCAGTTTTACTTAACAGCATGGAGAATCTTGTAGAGCTAGGTGTATGTGCTCTCTGTGCACCTTACTGTCATGGGAGGAGAGAAGAAAATTTAATACTAATTTAAGGACTGTCTATGCCTCCCTAACATTGAACATGGAAACTGGATTGGCAAAAAATTGTCCTTCCAGAGGTCCCCCAGCGCATGGGGAGCCTCGGGCGGGGAGTGCCGGTCTTTGGACTGGTGGCTCACTCCCGGCCTCGTAGTTCCCCGGAAGGAGGGCTTCCGGCGCACAGGGAGCCACAGGTGGGGAGTGCCGGTCTTCTGGCTGGCTAGCTTTCTGCCTCGTAGGCCCCCGGAGGGAGGGCCCCCAGCACATGGGGAGCCATGCGGCAGCGAGCGCTGTTGCGTGCCGGCCCTTAGGCCGGCCACCGCCACTCAACTGAGATCTATCATGACACAGAGAAACAGTGACACAATTGGCCCACCATGCACCGACTGCAGTTGCCCACCCACGGATGTGTGTGAATCATTGAAACTTTGAACAACCCTTGGGAATACATTTCACACAATGGGCCACTCTTGCTCCTGCCATTGAGAACCAGAAAGGTCCAGAGCCAGCAGAGGAGCA